AAAATGTTATTTTTTTTGGAGTCCTTTTTCTCTGTCTTCTCTTTTGTCGATCTTGACTATAAAATTAACCTGCCTCTTACTCAAATATTGTTCAGAGCCCAAGCTTGAGTGTCACCTGAACTGCTGATGTCCTTTAACTAGAGTTTGGGTATCCGTTCATCTGATGATCTCCACCCAGGCCACGCAGGTGGTCAGCATCCATCCCAGTAGTGTCTCTTGGCAGATACTGAGTTGCCTGGGCAGAGTTCCCTGTGGTCCCTGGTGAGTTTTCACTGATGACCCAGCAAACTCGCACAATGCTGGCACTGCAGTCTGCGTCATCCTTCAGGGAGGCTTGAGTGCTTTTCCCACCTCCACCTGCATTGTCTCCCATGTCTATTTGTCCAAAAACCTCTTTCTTCAAATACATATGTCTGTAGGTTTCACATGTCTAAGTAATAATGAATGCAGGAAAAGAATTAAGTGCTTTCTAAAGCAGCACTAGCCTGCTCCATGATAAGATAATCAAAGGTAGCTTCTCCCCATCAAAGACCTCTCTGCCTCACCTCCCACCTTTAGTCACTCCTCTCCTTGTTTTGAAGGTGAAGAACACATCTCTCTTAGTGCCATAAAGGCAACATGGATTTTTGTAATTTAAGTGTATTCTTCTTATTGTTGTTTTTGATTTATAGCCAAATGTTAAACTAGTTTAGAAATCTCCCAATATTATTTTTAAAAGTCAATTCTGTAGCCGTTTTTAAAGCAGAAGCAGTATCTTCCATGTTTTTACATGGGTTTTTTACACTTTTTACAGTGTTCAGCGCAGACCTTGATCTTTCCAGGACTCAGATTGTACCACAGTTTAAGTGATAACACCTTCTCATTGTGCCTAAGAAAGAAATAATATAAACTAATGGCAATCTTTTGTCTTCTCAGGAACCTTCTTCCATGCAAACCATGGGCTGATTGCCACCCTATGAGCCCACAGAGGTTAGGCATCCCAGATTGTGTTCTGTTACGTCTAAGGTATCCAAAGTAGAGTCGTTTTTTCAGAGTTTGCTTCTCAAATCTGGAACTGATGGAGTGCAATGGCTAATCGTATTAGGATCTGTGTTTTCTGCAGTAAACAGTCCTGTCTATCCCACTGCCTGCTCTTGGTGCTCTGGTGACTCTTAGTCTTTGGGCTGAGATGTCTCATGTTTGGCTATCTGCCCTGGATGTGCCAGGTTTGCTGGCTCTCAGCTAGCTTCTCCAAAGCCAGTTTCTACTCCCAGGCCTTGGAGTATTTGTGAACAGAGTCTGTTCACAGAGCTCCAAAATCGTGGTGGAATCAACACTCAAGTTTCTCTACAAGGCACTGAGCTAGGGAACAAAATGCAACTTGTGTATTGGTCACCAAGGAAAACTTAATTGAATAGTGTAATTTTACCCTATACAGTGTAGATGGAGATCGATTCTCTGGACCTGTTTTTTCACATCTTTGGAATCAAAACATGTCCTACTTTGTATTTCCTGACATGTAATGCATTTATATTTGTAAAACAATTTCAGAACCTTGTATGAAAGTTGAAAAATTATAAAATTATTGAGTAAAGTTGTTTATTGTGAGTGGAACCTATGCAAGTTCCATTTTGGTAATAAATGTATCCACTGAATCTGCTGGGTAGCCATTTTTTATTCCCATATCTTCAAGTACCTGAAACAATAGTTGAGAAAATTTCAATCTCCATGTATTCCAAAGGCAAATATCCTGCTGACTAAAAGTCTTACTGCATTGCCTGTCACAGTCCAGCATAGAATACATAAATATCAGCAATCATATATTAATCTTGCTGCCAAAATATGCTGTTTTTATCAAGTGCTGGCATACTAGATGAATTATTTGAGAAAGTAGTGTTAGGATCCATATTTAAGATTTTTACTTAAGGCTGTTAAGGCTTCATAACTGGTAGTGGCTTCATATTTTATCAATCTCATGAGCTTTATACAGCCTTGTGTAAAACTTGTTTGAGATTTAGGTAGCATAGAAGGGGGAACAGATAGAGTTTGTGGGGAGTTAACCTCAACCTCGGTGACTAAATTAATTGTTCACCAAAACTTCAGAATGCTTTATGGTGTGGTGATCTTCCAGTCTATGGCTACAATAAAAATCCATGTATTTTATGTGTTTACAATATCATGCCCTTTCTGTGCTATCATATGGTAAAGCAGATTTTATTTCTGTAACTTATATGAAGTTGACCGCATGTTTATTGCATTACTTGTGTGATGTAGTATTTTCATCAGGGATGGATTAGAGTGCTAAGGCATATCATTTCAAGTGATTGAAGACAACAAGCAATTTAAAAGCTGATAAGTACTACCTAATAATAAGTACTACCTAAAAGCTAATAAGCACTAAAAGATGCTGTTGACATTTTTTTAAATCTATAAAGAAATGCATATAGATATATTTCATAGTTCATTTAGCCTAGAAATTCATACTGTTGGTCTGAGCAAAATGGAATACAGGTTTGGTGGGTTTCTTGCCTGGTCTCTGAGAGATCATATGCAAGTTAAAAGTTGACTTTTCAAATTTTGTATTAAAATAATTTGTGTTTGATGATATGCGTCTAAGGATAAAAGATGTAAGGAGAGCCTATGAACCTCCAGAGAACCTTATAAAATATCTTCTGGAAAGCATAATGTGCCAAAGAATTACTAACTGGAATCAAGGAGCATTGTTTCAAAGCCCAGTAGCTCCATTTGTCATTCCCTTCAGGTACATATTTTCACACAGGCTTTTTATTTGTCTCCAGAGAAAGAGAAATATTTGACTGACTTAACCAAACACACCAGCCAAACACGAGCTTTGCATTGATGTTTGTTGCAAGATGCTGTTGCCTGCATCAGTTTGGAAATTACTTGCTTGAGAGAGCCTGTTACAAAGATAGTTCTGCTCATCATCAGATCCTCTAGCAGGAGTATGCTGTTAATTTGCGTATCTTGATTTTAGACTATTCCTTCCACATGAAGTTGGCAGTCACTTGACTTCCATCTACGGCAGTCATATGGCATCTGTGGCAGAAGATGGCAGTCACTTGACTAGAAGCAGACAGTAAGGGCAAGGGAATATAGAACGTGTCTGCCACGAAGGAAACTAGGCAACCCAACTAGTCAACATTATAACAAAATATATAACATTTATTGCTAAAACACCCAGATCTCAAAGACAGAGCTTAGAAGTTATGTGTCACTTAAGTTTATAGTGCAGAAGCTAAGGATAAGCAATGGGTGTACATGGATGTGAAGAAATTGGTTTGACAACAGATGCACACACACACACTCACAAAAGGGACCTACTACTCAGTTAAAAAAAAAAAAAGATAATTCTTTACACTCAGAAATCTATCTAGTAACTTTTTTTAAGAATGCAACTGAGAAGTTTCACTATGAAAAATTTAGTATTGTGCTAACACTGTTAACGCTACTGTATTTATTGAGGACCTAAAATGAGGATAAATACAGAAACATTACCAAGTTTGGGTAGAAGAAATGAGAGACTATTGTGAGGAGCTTCAGAAGGACTTGGATAAGCTAGGCAAATGAGTGTCACTGGAGTACATGGAATTCAGTGTTGATATGTTGGGAAGGAACAGTGAAACCACTCATTCACTTTTTAAAATTCAAGGCTAGCTGTAACAGCTCAGGAGAAATGTGTGGCTATTGCTTAATTTATAGGGTGGACTATTTGCTAAACCCTTACACTATTATTCAAAAAGAATAGGATGTGAGCATGTAGAAAAATGGAGCAGAAAATTGTGCTGGAAATGCCACAAAGCTCTTCTGCACTTTCTCACCTTTTCATATTGAATTTTTTTTCCTGTCTAAAGGAAGCACAACAATCATTTGCGAGGCAGAGGAAAAAAGGAATGAAATCAGCTTCTTTGGGTTTTTGAGTAAAATTGGAACAGTTAGTGTTGTTTAAAGGAAATGGAATGGGCAGCTSTGTGGTTTCACCAGGTAGCACAGCTCCTAGTTCAAACAATCCCCTTAAGAGAAAGACATTCTCAGGGAAAGAAAGGTTTGCCCTTTTAAGACTTTCCACCACCTTCCCAATCTTATTAACATACTTATTCATTACATTAGTTTTGCATATATCATTATAGCTCCTTAGTAATATTAACAATTCTAAAACAAGCTCTTGCTGTACACTGTGATTAGCATGCTAATGGGGCCTCTCCTGGCAAGCAGTTCAAGACTGGTGGTTCATTCCTGGTTAGGAAAAGTGAAATGTTATTAATTACCTTCTGATTTGGACAGTCTTTACAGAGATAAATATTGCCTATCTTACTGCTTCTAAAGTATCTTAATTTGGATTTAATCCCAAGCTGGAATTTGATWTGAATGGGACTTTTTGTGTTTTAAATACACATATGTGAATTCAGAATTTTGCTGGATTGAGTCGATATATGCCAAYACAAACATAAATGCAATCTGCATTTTTATTGAAGCTCTATCTCTCAATCTAATTCTTTAATKAATATCTTTTTACCTATATATATCTATATCTATATCTGTCTGTCATTAAATCATTATGCTTTTTTTCCTCTGGGAGGAAAAATTATAGCACTRAGTTTGTAATATGCTGAGATCGCTCATGATTTTTTGTTGCAATGTATGAAAATACATTCCAAAATCGATTATAAAATGTGTTCAATGTACATTTAGGCTTGACTGTTCCTAATAGAAAGTACTGTGAGTGAAGCTATTTGGATCTAAAAAACTCTTCTTTGATCCTTTTTTAAAAAGGGGAGAATCAATTATATGCATTCAGGTAATCCAGTAATATCAAAAAAAAAAAAGATAGAAAATACTGCCTAGAGAATATCACAAGAAAGTATGTTTGTGATATCAATGAGGATTTTGAAAATAGGCAAAATATGTAAGTAATGTGAATAATCTGTGCTGCATAACAGTTGGAAACATAACAACCCCATAATATGTCTATAATCCTAATGTATTTCTTTGCTGTTTTGCAGGCAGACCAGTAATGATTGTAGTTGAATACATGGAGAATGGATCCCTTGACTCCTTTCTGCGGGTGAGGTGCCATTTTCTGATGACATTTGAATAAGAAGCCATTCTAGGTTAAGATTTTAAATCATTTATCATAAATTAATTTCTACATAATGTTATTCATGGATTTTTAGTGAAGAATAGAAGCATTTTCCCTAGGGTATATTTCTGAGGTACAGTGATACATTAGAGCATAACTGGGAGGGAAAAAAAAAAGATTTAAATTTAAATTTAAGAATATAATTGATTTCTTCTACAAGAGTAGTTCCCATATTTAGCAAAATGTATTTCAAATAGTGTTATTATGAAGGAAAAGATAAATTGAAGCACAAATGCCTTGCCTTAYGGAACATTTTACTCAATCACCTTCAAAAGTACTTTGTTATGATTTTTTGGGTTGGTGAAGTGTAGAATAGACTCAGTAATTGATTTATAATTATTTATGGTTACTTGCATTTAATAAATTGAATTGGAAAACAGTTCATGGGTGAAATGTCCCAGTACTAACTGGCTGTAAGAGGTCACTCAGTAAACATTAAAGAAAGTGCACAGAAAGCATGAAAAATGTGTTGACACAATTGCATTTAAGTCTTTTTTATTTTTGGAAAAGTGGAAGAAAGAGGAGTCCYTAGTGCAGGGCTCTGGCCCTAAAGCAAACCTTATTCTAAATAGTATCTTTATTGACAGAACCACAGAAATCTGTCCAGAGGCCTCCTGACCTAAGACCCTGTTTGAATAATTCAGTTGTTGAGTACTTCCAATTTGTCTTTAAAAGGAAATGCCAACAATCTTTACCATCTCTCTGCCTTGCCCTTGCCCTCTTGTATGATGGTGAAGTTGGGGCTGTAGGTGAGCTCTAGAGGTGTAACCTCTGGTTTTGCAGACCTGTTTGAAAGGGTTTCTCAAGTGAAAAGGAGAGGAGTTCAACATGCAATTGTGAAAATATTTGCAGAGAAATATAGATGATGATGATGAAGGCTCCTAGAACTTGTTAATCTCTAAAAATTAGGTTATTTTCTGGAAAGAGTTTGATACCATCAAGTTCTTTTTAGAAACTAATTTGGCTTTAAAAAATGTCACCTCCTTGCCTCCTCCTGGCTCATCTGTCTACCTGCCTTCAAGAGACAGACTGTTGCTGAAATGAGGACCTGGGGTTGCCATGCTCTGTAATTTTACAGCACATCCCAAGAAACACTTGCCTGGGCCTGGAAATCTCTTCTTTGTCTGCATTTGTGTGCAGAACCTTACAAAAGAGAATAAAGCCAAGTATTGAAATCATCCATGAAAGAGAATTACCTTCCTCTGAGTGTCTTGAGTATGAAATCTACATTGCAAGTATTCCTGATACGTGTTTATTTATTGCAATAATTACTACTTAATAGGGTACTTTAATAGAAGCTTGACATCAGCAAAACTATGATATTTATGAAACAATGCATCTCACATTGCATCAGAGATATTTCCAGGCAAAAATGCTGGGGGAAAATGTGAGCTAGCAATTTTTGCAGCTGGTTTCTGTGTATATTATTTTATAGTTTGAGTTCACACTTCAGATGAGGTCTATTGTTCTAAAATGCTTTTTACGAGAATTTTAGATAATATCCAGCATACCAAAACAGTGTAGATATATCATCAGCATTCCTGTTAATAATTAGCAGAGCAAATGGCTTCCAAGTATCCTATTTAAAAAAAAAATCAATCTGCCTCATTAATAATTGTTGTTTCCTGCAGATAAAAATCCACACTTTTAAAAGCTTTTGTGAAGAAACAAAGAAGCAGAGAGGACTTATAAGACAGTCTATCTTATTCTTTAAAACTATTACTTCATTACAATGCAGAGTATTTTTAGAGACAGACAGCARGGTGGAAAATACCCAGTTTTTACTGTTAGGAAGGCTGCTCTCCCAACTTCCGAACATTATTAGCCTAGGGACCAACCAGCAACATCCCTCTGACCTGCCTTTCTCTAAAAACTGGCAAAAATGGGTCTGTTGTTCAGTGTTCCCCCAGAGTGAGACTCTCTCATGGTCCAAGGGAGGGGATTACGGAAGTATCCTCGCTGAAGACGTTTTGCCATCAGCCTCTTCACAGCATTGATGAGATGTTAGCTTTCATACCCCTTCTCTTTCCTGCTAAGATTCGTAAACTCCAAACAAAACTCCTATTGTCCACTAAACCTAAAATTTTAATGGACTTTGTATTCTTGCTTTGCAGATGGGCAAATGAAGCACTGAGTAGTTAAGTGATCTGCACAGTATCGTGCACAAAGTGCAGAGCAGAACCTGGAAATGAAAGCCAGGCTCCTGATTCCCATTCCAGTGCCTTAAATCTATGCTGTAGCTTACTTAGCGCTATATTTTGATTTCAGTTTTGAGTCCCAGTCCCTAAATCAGTGCCTTCCTTTCTACAGCTTATTAGAAATAGAGTAAGCTCAGCTAGATCAAATGTCCTCCCTGCCCCCCAAAATACCTGGCTATCCTAAATACTGACTTTAGGTAAAGAAGTGGGTGTGCATTTACCTTATGAAGCTCCTTCATGTATATTCATGAARGAAAGACATCAGCTAATTAGAACTGATTCTGTAAGATCGAATTAATTAATGACAACAAACTGCACACCACGAGACTTCTCAGCTTGCTAGAAATACTTGACACCAAATTTCCCTAGAAATCCTGCATTATTTTTGCAGTTTATATATATATATAYACACAAAACTATATACGTAACTATATATATATAATTATAAAACTTGTTTCCATAAGGTGAAACATCTTTTCTCTCGWAAGATTGATTCCTGTAAGTCAGTTATCCTACAAAATATATGCTGCATTTATTTTTGGTGAAGTACTTCACCTCACCAGATATGAGATAACATAGAGGCTCTTCTTTTAGCATTACTCCAGCTGCCAGATAAGAGAACACTGTACTAGTAAATAAAATGGCTTATACCTTAATACCTTAGTGTGGGAATGGAGGGGACAGAGGTAAAATGTGCTGTGCTACTACAAACTTCACGTATAGACTGTGAGAAGGCACATGGTCTTTATATTTCAGTTAACWGCCTGTGTAATGCAGGTCCCAGCAATCACTTATTCCATAAGCATGCAAAGAAAGCAATAAACATATGCAAAGGCTGACAGAGCAGCTATCTGTATTGATGGAAAGATGTGCTAGATGGGTGTTTGCAGTCAGGTATGTTTGCTCAGGCTTACTGATACACAGAAGACCTGACAAAACAGATGGATTTGAGAGAAGCAGTAAACTCAGTCACCCTCAGCTCCAAAACTGAGAGCCCCTGGCTTGATGGTCTGAAAATCTTCGTATATGCCAGAAACGTATTCCCAGCTTTGCTGAGGGAAAGCAGAGATAAGTGCYACATTGTACCCAAGATTGTGCAGCAGGTTGGATAGTGATAGAGTAATATAACCCACAGCTAAACCTCAGTTTCACTSCCTTGTTTTGTGCTGTGACACAGCAACACTTCCCTCAGTCTTGTCTGACAAATGTTTGCAACAGTCAGTGTAAAAGTTCTTTGCCCCAAGGTCAGTCCTTTCAGCCTGATACACCCAATTAGCCTATTCTCTAAGTAGATACCTTGCACACTTATGGAACTGTAAAGAGTTGRAGCTCGTCTGCCTTTTTCATGGCACATTCTAACAGGTCACTCTTGACTGAAGTAATTGGATTTAGCATCACGTAGACAAGACCAAGCTCATAAAGAAGCTCCGAGGTTTGCGTGCTGGGGCAGTCATAGCTGCTGGGATTCAGCTGCACTGGTTGCTGCCTTGACATCATCTGCTGCCTTCACTTTGCTCAGTCTTCATTTTCATGGCACATTATTTATTTCAAATATTTAAAGCACCAAAAAAGAGGAGCTCAAAGCTGATTTGGGGGGGGGTCTCTTTTTTTGTTTGTTTGCCTGTTGTATTTGTTTTTTGTGGGGGTGGTTGGCTACTTAGAATCGTGTTTAAAAAAGCTGTCCCCAGAGTACTTTAATTTGCTTCATTGTGAGTTTTTCTGCACTTGCAGACTGCCAGACTACCATCACTGTTTTATTCCCATTTAATGTCTGAGGTGTGCTGCTAGCACAGTGAGGAAAGAAAGAGGGACACAATCATAGGAGACACATTCATGTCCTCTCCGGGAATTAATACAGAAAAGGAAACATGAGGGTCAAGCAGCTCCTGAGAGTTTGCAGTGTTTCTCTTTAACTGTTCCCTCAAGAGAAAGGTGTTTAGTGTTCAGAGGAAGGTGTCCAGTCTTACTAGTTTGGGGAATCCCTGAGTTCTAGGAGGAAGGGATTCATGTATCTAGGGGAATCACCTGCTCCTCTTGCCCTTGTTCACTGTTACTATTGGCAGTAGTAATGCTCTACAAATCTAAGCGCTCTGCTTGCCTCAACGCTCTACTTGAATCTTATCACTGATACTTTTCACTTCAGAAAATTAAAATACTTACTAAATAAAGCCATATTTACTTACGGGCATTCACAGCATGAAAAAAAATCCTGTAAAACAATTAGGTTATTTTCTTCTAAAGAAAATACCTCCTAAAGATTCTGTGAAAAGCAGTATACTGAACTATCTTAGAGCATTAACTGCAATAGAATATATAGGCAAATAAAAATACCAGAATTCATCACAAATTTTAATACCTTAAGGCATGTCTAGCAGAGGCTAAGATAAGTCTAAAAATAAGTGAAAAATGTGTTACTAGAAGGACAAAATATTATGGTGTGCTGCTCTTTGATGGAGTAATGGTTATGAATTTATTCTCACAGCAGCTTTGCCATCAGGCTCACCCTTCTTACAAGCAAGAGGTTAGATGCTGCAGTAGACACATCCAGCAAGGTTGGGGGACAGGGAGAAAAGAGAAAAATGAAGATATGTAAAAAGTGAAATATGTGCTGTAAATCTACTGGGGCCTCACTAGTCACAGTCAGCTTTGGGGAAAGAAAGGATAGATGACCTTTGCTAAATTTAGTGGTTCCTGTTATTATTTATTTGCACCCAGAGAGGAAACAAC